CGTCGATGATAAAGAAGAAGGAAAAGAAGAAGAAGAAGACCGAAAAAAGGAAAAAAAAAATCATAATACGAAAAATTATGACAAGAGGAAAAATATTAAAGAATAAGAAAGGGAAATGGGTGATGAATTTGGAGAAAGGGGGAGACAAAGAAAAATTGAGTTAAAGCTTTCAGGGACATATAGATGCTTCAGGGACATGTCGATGGAGAGAGAGAGTGTGAGAGAGAGAGAGAGAGAGAGAGAGAGAGAGAAAGAAAGAGAGAGAGACAGAGAGAGAGAGAGAGGAGAAAGAGAGAAGACAGATAGAGAAAGAGAAATGGTAGAGAGAGTTAACCTTATAGGTACAGGATATTCAATCTATGTTAGCTCATATTTTTTGTGTTCCTATTTTTTTATTTTCGAAATATTTCTTATTTTAAATGTAGTTATCTAAATCATATGATATATATAAATTTAGGACGAGGGGGAAATGAGAGAATGAGAGATAAATATTGAAAGAGGGATGGACACATGGATGAAGAGAGAGAAATAGTTAAAGTTTTCAAGTACATTTATTTGATTGATATAAATAAATGAAGGAAAATAAGAAGAATATAAAGTCGGAGAGAACGAAGAAGACAAAAGCGATGAAGAAGAAGAAGAAGTAAAATAGGAAGAAGATGAGGAAAACAGAAAACAAGAAGAAGATGTGACAAAAAAAACAAAGAATAAGAAGTAACAAAAGAGATATAGAATGAAGAGGAGAAAGAAAAAGAAATAAAAGAAAATGAAAGAAAACTAAGAAGAAAACGTGAGAAAAGAAGGGGAGATAAAGATGGAAGACGATGAAGAAAAAGAAAAAAAGAAAAAAAAAAAGAAAAACTAAAAGATAAATAAGAAGAAGAAAAAAAACAATTATGTAAAGACAAAAACTTTTGTCTTAATTCAATTGATTTGTGAGTTCAATAGTAAATATATTTTTTAAAAAATTTTAGATGGTGTTTCCTTTTTGGATTTGCTTTATTTTATTATGTATATATATTAAATAATTGTTTTTAATTATTTTTAGTTTTAGTTTACAACATTGATTTCTGGATAGAAGTATACGTGATATACTCAAAAATGATGACATTTTTGGTGGGAAAGTCATTCTATTCGGAGGAGATTTCAGGCAAATATTGTCTGTTATTGTAGGAGGTAATAGACCCAAACTCTTATGGCTACCACAAATTCTTCTACTTTATGAGACAGTTGTACAATTTTAGAACTAACCAAGAATATGAGGCCTCAAAATGGTGCCGGAGGTGATCGCGTTAATGAGCTAGAGGCCTTTTCAGAGTGGATTTTAGATGTAGGAGACGGCAAAATTATTTCGACTGACAATGATGAAGCTGAGATTGAAATCCCTGATGATTTACTGATAAAAGAATGTGCTGATCCTGTTAAAGAGATAGTAAGAGAAGTGTATGGTGATTCATACAGATCGGAAAGAGATCCAAAATTTTTTCAAGACAGAGCAATACTTAGCCCGAGAAATACAGACGTGAGATTAATAAACAAATACATGTTGTCAGAAATAAAAGGTAAACATATTTAACGCTTTATACATACGATCTTACATATTAGCTTCAAAATGTGATCAACTGAACTTCGTAAAACATTTTTCTAGCTGAGGAACATACATATTTAAGCTCGGACAACATCGATACTTCTGGTAAGGGCAAGATTGACGAGAAAGATTACACACAGGAATGTCTTAATAGTATTAAGATCTCAGGATTGCCAAACCATGAATTGAAATTGAAAATAGGAACATCTATTATGTTGCTTCGGAATATTGACCCTAGAGGTGGTTTATGCAATGGAACAAGACTCTTGGTAACACAGTTGGTAAAATATGTTATTCAAGCTAGCCACATAACTAGAGAATATATTGGTCAAAAGGTTTTGATCCCACGAATGTTTGTTTCTCCACAGAGACAAGATTTCCTTTTAGAATGAGGCGTAAACAATTTCTGGTAGCTATCGCCTATGCAATGACTATCAATAAAAGTCAAGGACAGACTTTGCAAAAGGTTGGCCTGTATTTACCAAAACCAGTATTTTCACATGTTAATTTAAGAGCTGGTTTGAAGATTCTGATAACGGATACAATGGGTCAGCCACAAACCAAGACTTTGAACGTTGTATACAAAACCGTCTTTCAGAATGTAAGGAAACAATAGTTTTTTTTTAAGGTTTAGAGTTTTACAATTTAAATGGTTTATTTAATTATTTATTAAATGATATTTTAGTTTACTTATCCTTTTCCTATTAATGATTGTCCTCATTGTCGAGAATCAAACATAAAACAAATAGAGTAAAACATGGTGTTTGCAGAATTAATGAATTTTTTAAAAAATATAATTATCCAACTAACCAATTTGATGACTATGAATGCACTTCCAAAATTAAAAGTTTCTATAATATATTAGCATTCTGATATTATAAAAAAAAAGTTAAGTACTCAGTTTCATGCACTTCGCAAACCCGCGTATCGCGCGGATCCCCAAATAGTTATATTTAGAATGTATTCAATAATATGAAAAAGTAGGAGTATTTCTACGATGGTACATAATTAATTACCCTTAATTATACCCACCAACTGTTAGCTGTATTTTCAATTTTTAAAGGCTCTGCTACTTTTAAATTGATTTTTAAACAAAACTTGAAAAAATGATGTCACTACCGTTGAAAAAAATGACCTCATTAAAATAAACAAAAATATATTTGGGCATGACAAACAAAAACAGATCGAAAATTCACAAAATGTAATAAATTAAGACCAGTTAATACGTGGCAGAAAGCAACTAATTTACTACCCCCATTTTGAGATTCAAATTCAATTTCTAACAGTTTCACTTCCTCTTGGTTCTCTCATGTGATCCATCTCTCTCTCTCTTCTCTACACTTCTTCTCCCTCTCTTTAAACCAGAACTTTACGGTACATCACTGTGATTTTTCCATAAACTAAAGTTCCTTTTCTTCTTTTTTTCCTTTCGCCGGAGATTATGGGAGGCTGTACCTCCAAACCCTCCACCTCCGGCAGACCTAGTAACCCTTTCTTTCCCGGAAACGACTATCCCCAAATTAACGATTTTGCCCCTACCGATCCCGATAAATCACCACTCCCTACCCCTTCCGCCGCAAAGGCCTCTCCTTTCTTCCCCTTCTACACTCCAAGCCCTGCTCGCCACCGCCGCAACAAGAGCCGTGATGTCGGCGGCGGAGGCGGAGGAGAGAGCAAGAGCGTTACCAGCACACCGCTACGTCAATTGCGGCGTGCTTTTCACCCTCCGTCTCCGGCTAAACACATCCGGGCGGCGCTACGGCGGAGGAAGGGCAAAAAGGAGGCAGCTTTATCGTCGGCGACGCAGCCTGCGACGGAGATACCGCCGCATGAGGAGGAAGAGGAATTAGGGCTTGACAAAAGATTTGGTTTTTCGAAGGATTTTCACAGTAGAGTAGAATTAGGGGAAGAGATTGGACGAGGGCATTTTGGGTACACTTGCTCTGCTAAATTCAAGAAAGGAGAGCACAAAGGTCAAGTGGTTGCTGTTAAGATCATCCCAAAATCAAAGGTCAAAAAACTTAAAATTGACTCATTTAGAACTCTCAATTAGCTTAGTTTAGTTCTTGCTCTTGATGATTTGCATACTCCATTATAGTGTAGCTGATAGAACAGAATGTGTTTATTAATTTTTGGCAGATGACAACTGCAATTGCCATAGAAGATGTTAGAAGGGAAGTGAAAATTCTACAGGCTTTATCTGGACATAAGAATCTGGTTCAATTCTATGATGCATTCGAGGACAATGCTAACGTCTACATTGCTATGGAGTAAGAAAATTTCGTTGCCTGATGTTGAATCAGTTAGATTCTAAAATTTGTTTTTGGTAAAAAGAACCTAGTTTCGCTTCTTTGGGGGTTGAATTAGTTTGAATTTGCAGGCTATGTGAAGGTGGTGAACTACTTGACAGAATACTAGCAAGGTGTGTGCTACTAAAGAGTTATCAATACAACAGAAACATAGGTCAAGGGATTGTTCTGAAGTTTCTTTTTTTTTTTTTCAACAGGGGAGGGAAATACTCAGAGAATGATGCAAAACCAGTGGTTATACAGATCTTAAGTGTTGTTGCTTTCTGTCATCTCCAAGGAGTTGTTCATCGAGATCTTAAACCAGAGGTGAGGAGGCACTAAATTTCGTTTGAACCGGAAAGGAAGTAGATTATCTCTAATGCTTACCTATGGGGAATGTTTTCTTTGATCATCAGAACTTCTTGTACACTTCCAAGGAGGAGAATTCTCAGCTGAAAGCCATAGACTTTGGCTTATCAGATTTTGTCAGACCAGGTTCCTCATCCTATTTTTACTAATTGTCACAAATTTCATTACTTCTTTTACTTCTAATTAGCAAACTAAAAGAAACGGTGTTTTGTGTCCTTGATTTTGAAAGATGAAAGACTCAACGACATAGTGGGAAGTGCGTACTATGTAGCTCCTGAAGTTCTACACAGATCATATACAACAGAAGCTGATGTATGGAGCATTGGAGTCATAGCATACATTCTACTATGTGGTAGCCGTCCGTTTTGGGCAAGAACCGAATCCGGAATCTTCAGAGCGGTTCTTAAAGCTGACCCGAGTTTTGATGAAGCGCCTTGGCCCTTCTTGTCTGCTGAAGCTAAAGACTTTGTTAAGCGGTTATTGTATAAAGATCCTCGGAGAAGAATGTCAGCCTCCCAAGCCTTGAGTCAGTTCAAATCTCTTTATAGATTTACAGTGTTTCTCATTTCGTAGTCATAAATCTTCAAATTCAGTTCCTTTTTACTCTTTTTTCTCAGTGCATCCTTGGATCCGGGGTTATAGTACCGACATGAATATCCCGTTCGATATTCTGATCTTTAGGCAGATAAAGGCCTACTTGCGATCTTCTTCATTGCGCAAAGCTGCTCTAAGGGTATGTTTCAAGCACCTTTGTTTTAAGTGTCTTAAATAACATTGAAGAATGTTTTCTCAGTGTGCTTTCTTTTTACAGGCCCTGTCCAAGACGCTGATCACAGATGAAATTATTTACCTGAAAACTCAATTTTCTCTCCTCGCACCAAACAAAGATGGACTCATCACTTTGGAAAACATTAGATTGGTTCGTAAGCGTTTAAACCTCTCTTTTATGACGATACAAAAACACAGCGTCGTAATCTAAATCTTGTTGCAAAATTTTTTCTGTTTGGGCAGGCACTTTCAAGCAATGCAACAGAGGCAATGAAGGAATCTCGAATCCCAGAGTTTCTTGCTTTGGTAAGAAATGTTTCTGTGTGTTTCTCAGATTTGGATAGATTCTTTCAACAGTTTGGTGTCGATGCCCTTTCAATGACTGGAATTTTTTACAGCTAAATGGACTTCAATACAGAGGAATGGATTTCGAAGAGTTTTGTGCAGCTGCCTTAAACGTTCATCAGCATGAGTCGCTTGATTGTTGGGAACAGAGCATTCGTCATGCTTATGAGCTTTTCGACAAGAATGGGAACAGAGCTATTGTCATTGAAGAACTTGCCTCTGTAAGTTTCTTGTATTTGGCCTAATACAACAATCTCGAAAAAGACAAGACATGTATCCTCTTAAAGCCGACATGTTATTGAGTTGCAGGAACTTGGTGTTGGACCATCGATACCCGTACATTCGGTTCTACATGATTGGATAAGACACACAGATGGGAAACTAAGCTTCTTCGGGTTTGCTAAACTGTTACATGGAGTCTCTGTTCGACCCTCGGTGAAAACGACACGGTGAAGATAATGAAACAAACATGACAAAGCTAAATCTGATAAAAGAGAGGATGTCAAGAACTTTACTCTGATTCTTGGATCAGTAGTGAGAGGAAGTGTAAAAGGAACATAAAATTTCATACAAGAGCAATTCTACGAAAAAATTGTTGCAATAGAATAGTAACCACAGTGACTCTCATTCTCTAATGTGAAATCAAGAGAAAGAAAAAGAGGGAATTTAAACATAAACATTCTCTTACTTCTTAAAAAGATCATTTGATGAAAAAGCAATATTGGTTTTTTATTGATTACGTGTGTATTCCTTAGTAGATGTAAAACACACGTTTCTTTTGTTTACATTTGGTATTGTTCCACTAAGCTGATTCTTCACTAACTATTCCAAAAACCACATCTTCATTTTTTCACCTTTGATAGGTTGGGACTGATCAAAAAATTTGATAGGTCTTAAGGCCGTTGTCTGTTGAGTATATATCTGCAAAGTGAGAAATCTTTGTTTACTAATAGAAAAGTTTAGAAAAAGAAACCGTACATTTTTTTTTTATCATGGAAACTAGAATCCATTGAAGATATATAAAGATCCTAATGAACATTAAAACATACAAATTTGATAGTCTTGGTGCAGTCACATGAGCCATAAAGCCATTTCCAGAGGTTTTTTTTCAGTTATGCCATGTGTTCATGTGAAATTCATCATTTAAAATGAACTTCATCATTTAAAATGGATTGTAATCAGATATATATATATATATACATATATTAACCCCTTTAGGTTTACAAGAAATATAAACTATAAATATGGTATAACGTCTTTTTTTTTGTCAACAATAACGTCTAATACATTGTAAATAATATGATCTAATAATCGAGATCGTATAATTAAGATAATTGTTTTCCATATTATTGAATAGTATATATATATATATATATATATATATATATAGTGAACTTTGAAGCCCTTTAAAACCCTAGACTAAGAGCATGTGGTCAAGTCCATCTGGAACCAAAACACAAACCATCTTAACACAAAATATGATTAGAAGAGAAAACTCAGATTCCATCCCGACTGATCTTGTCAACGAGATACTCTCGAGATTGCATGCAAAGTCAATCGCGAGGTTTCGTTGCGTGTCGAAGCTATGGAGCTCCATGATTCTCCGTCCATATTTCACCGATTTGTTCCTCACCAGGTCATCTGCTTGTCCCCAGCGTCTCTTATTCGCCGTCCAACTAGACGGTGATGAGTGGTGTTTCTTCACGTCGTCTCAGCCTCAGAATCCATATGATGAGGAGTCGTCGTCGTCTCTTGTAGTAACCGCGGATCGTCACATGAAGTTCCTTGGAGACGAGTGGCTAGAGACTTGTGGTTATACCTCAGGATTGATCTGTTTCTGTCGACATAAAGCGATCTCAGAAGTTGATAAGCATACAGTAATATGTAACCCTAGCACGGGTCAGTACGCAAGCTTACCTATACCTAAAAAGTGGACATGTTGGAGACGCTATTTAGGGTTTGATCCGATTGGCAAACAATTCAAGGTATCGTCCCTTAGCTGTGGTGAAAAGGGATACCAGTATGAAATTCTAACACTAGGAACTGGAAAATTTTTGTGGAGGAAGATCCATTGTCCCTTCAACCATTTTCCTGAGCATCATTTGCATAGAGAGATATGCATCAATGGGTTTTTGTATTATTTAGCTGGATATCACAATGATGAACGAATAGATAAACATCGTTATCTGGTAGTTTGCTTTGATGTTAGATCTGAGAAATTCAAGTTTATATACAGAGATTTCATTCTTGATGGGTTTCTTCCTGAACTGATCAATTACAAGGGTAAATTAGGCGTGTTTACTCGGACGTATTCTCCTCCTGGTACAAGGAATTCCATTAAGTTGTGTTTGTCCGTTTTAAAGGATGTCGAGAAATCTGAACCGGAATGGTCTGAATATAGCTACAGTTGTTGGCAGAATCAATTCCCTAAATGCGTTGTTTACGATTTTTGGGAGTATCGAATCGTTGGTGTGACTGCTACAAGTGAAATTGTTTTTTCGACGGAAGACGCATCTAGACAGTCTTATGTTTTTTTCTTCAATCCCCAAAGGAACACTCTCCTAAGTGTTGAAATCCAAGGTTTTGGAGCTGGCACTTTTGAGAAACGTAGAAGAAGAGTTCAAGTCTTTCTAAACTATGTAGAGGATCTCAAGTTTATTACTATGAAGACGACAAATGCTGTAACACCAAAACAGAAGAGCACATCAACAACATCATCTGAAGCTTACCAGGAACAGGATGGTCGTAGGTTTGAGAGCATTAACAAATTTGATTCTCTGCGTCTTTTAGATGATGATGAATTTACTTGATTGCTTCCCTTGCTCCTTACAGTCGTCTAAAAGCTCTATTTAATTATTTTTTTTGTTGATGTAAAATTTATTCAAAAAAAAAAATCAATTTTACAATAAATGCATCTTTAAGTTGAGGGATAGAGATTTTGCTAGACTTTTATAAATCAATACATATGGGGATAATTGGCTGTCAAACAACGGATCCATGGAAAGCACCGGAAATGTAAGAAATCTTTGTTTACTAATCGAAAAGTTTAGAATAAGAAACCATACATTTTTTTTATCATGGAAACTAGAATCCATTGAAGATATATAAAGATCCTAATGAATATAGAAACATACAAATTTTGATAGTCTAGGTGCAGTCACATGAGTCATAAAGCCATTTCCAGAGGTTTTCTTCAGTTATGCCATGTGTTCATGTGATCTTTTATTCCAAAATTTGCAGGTTTTCGTTTGCATATTGATCCTACATGTGTCAATGTGTCTTTACTACAAACGTGGCTTCTCTTACTTTTCTCAATTTCTCAAATACCTTGTATAAAGCTACAGCAACAGGGTACTGGAAATCTCAAATAAAGCATTTAAGCTGTTGCTTGTGCTGCAAGCTAGGAATCAGACATGGAAAGTATGTGGCAAGGTTAGATTCTACTCTCTATTAATTTGTAAAGATGCTTTTTCAGGTGTTTATGAATTGCAGAATCGGTCAAGTTCCTATGGCTGAGATTATTAAAAAGTTGCTGGATATACTTTCACAAGCAATTATTAAATAGATGCAGATTCCTTTTGGCATTCCAAAGTATTTATTTCTTCAACATAAGGTAATATATGCTCGTTAATTAGTTCCTGATTATAAATAGTTCTACTTAAACCAACTCTTAATTAATAAATACATGTACCCTCGATTTTAGTGTATAGTGTATTCTCAATTTTGTCTTGATCACCAACGTCTTAAGTTGCGTTAGTTATCTTTCTTTCAGATAGGTCTTCTTAACATCGACAGGCGTGGAATTTTCATTGAGAGAAGACCCACCAACCAAGAATTGAAGCTGTTGAAGTCGCACAAAAAGAGATAGACGAAGAGACAGAGCATATGCAGAGTATGAAAGTTAGAGAAAGAAAGTTTGTGAGAGATGAAGAAAGAGAAGCAATTCTATTCGACCATCAGTGAAAACTATACGGCGAAGATAATGAAACAAAACATGACAAAGTGAAATCTGATAACAGAGAGGATGACAAGAACTTTACTCTGATTCTTGAATCAGTAGTGAGAAATGTAAAAGGAACGTAAAGTTTCATACAAGAGCAGTTCCATGAAAATTGTTGTAATAAAATAGTAACTACAGTGATTCTCATTCTCTATGTGAAATCAAGAGAAAGCAAAAGAGGGAATTTAAACATTAAACATTCTCTTACTTCCAAAAAGATTTGAGTTTGTCTGTGTAAAGATTATGATACCAACCTGAAACAGGCTGAAATTAGAATTTGCATACCAATGCAAACCGGTTCTGGCGATGGATTTTTTTTTTTTTTTTTTTTTTGAATTTAGATTACATACCAACCTGAAACTTCCATGATCAGAAGTATCTTCTTGTGTTGGATTTAGTATGCCATGGCTATTACCATGTTTGTTATCGGTCGATTTTCACAGCTAATTTACTTTGTTGGTACTATGACGCATAAAATTTTGTTTATTGTATTAATTTAGGTTGCTATTGGAGACTGATAAATGGCAAAGAAACAAAACTTGCAGTTTCTGTTTACAGTCTATATGGTCTAATTCCTGAAGAAGATAACCTATTTCGTTGTTGGGATCTTGAGATTTAGAACTATAGTAAGTTGGTGTATCTATATTCTCATGATCGATCGATTTCTTTCTGTGTTTTTGTGAGTTGGTATTTGAATGTGTAATATTTGCATCTGTAGATTTTTGTTGTTGTTGAGTTTTGTGATAATTTGCTTAGCATGCCTGTCCTGAATTTCTAAGTTAACTTTTTAAGCTTTTCTTCTTAGATCTCATCAATCGCTTCTGTTCTTACATGTATTGATCATTGTCTTCTTACATTTATTGAACAGATGATTCAAAGTTCTTAATGTTAGTATTGTTGTTTAGTGTATAATATATGCTACATCACAGTTGGGTTCTCTTCTATGCCAGTGCAGGTTCTAGTATCAGTACACATGTTCATATACTGTAGAGAATCTCGAGGGAGATGATTCTCTTTTGGCTCAAGTTTATGGCAAGGTCAACTTTGTTTGTTCGTTCATGTTGCTTCTACACTCATAGGTCATAGCTTAAAATTTTCATACAAATACAAAAAAATATCAATTTTTGCAAAATATCCTATCAAAATTGTATCTAATTAAATATTGTTTTCCATATTTCGATAATACAGTTAAGTTTGAAAACCTAGAATAGATTGTCATTGACGTCTAGAGGAAGGAAAAAAAAATAGATTGCCTTTAAAACCCTAGACTGAGAGCCTGTGGTGTGTATATCAGAAACCTTCTTCGAAGTTGGAACTCAATATGATTAGAGGAGAAAACTCAGATACTCTCGACATTGCATGCAAAGTCAATCGCGAGGTTTCATTGCGTGTCGAAGCTATGGAGCTCCATGATTCTCCGTCCATATTTCACGGATTTGTTCCTCACCAGGTTCTCTGCTCAGCCACGTCTCTTATTTGCCGTCCAACTAGACGGCAATGAGTGGTGCTTCTTCACGTCGACTCAGCCTCAGAATCCATATGATGAGGAGTCGTCGTCTCTTGTAAACGATGCGTGTCTAGAGATTTGTGGCCCTGCCTCTGGTTTGATCTGTTTTCGTCGACATTCAGCGATCTCAGAAGAGGATAAACTTCCTGTGATATTTTTAGGGTTTGATACGATTGTTGAAGTTGAATTCCTTGATTGAATCCTCACAAATAAAAGAGAAACCAGATATTGTTGGAAAAGAAGAAAGGAAAAAGAAGAAAGGATGAAGAAGAAGTTTTGTGTCGTGAAAGAAAGAATCAGAGAAGAAGAAGAAAGTCAAAGGGAAAGGATAGTCAAAGAAAGAAGTTGGGCTTCTCAGGTTAGTCAAGTGGGCCTGCGAATTTGTACAAGCCCAAACGAATAAAGGAGGAGGAGTTTGTGTATGTGTGTGTGTTGGTGTGTTGAGATGAATAAGTCTAAGCTAGAGCAGTTAGAGTTGTTGTAATAGTTAAGTAAGGTTGCTTGTAAAACTAGTCTAGTGTTAGAGGTATGGACTAGTAGAAGTTGTTATGTCTAGAGATCATTAGGTATGAGTGCAATGAGTTGTATAGCTCTATAAGAATGTTGTAAAAGAGAAGGAGAAAGGATCGATTGATCAATATAACAAAATGTAGTTTTTAAAGCTTTTTCTCTCTAAAGTTCATCTTGTTATCACTTAGAAAAACCAAACACAAAACAAAGAGTGAAACAGAGTTAGAGAGAAAGAGAGAGTGAGAGTGAAAGAGAGAGAAAAGAGAAACAAAAGAAAAGAGTAAAGAGAGAAAAAGAGAAAGAAGGTGAAACCTGAATGAGTGAACAAGAGAGAGTGAAGAATGTCAACACCGATTGACAAACAATTCAAGGTATTGTTTGTTAACTATGATGAAAGGTATTGTTTGTTAACTATATGAAATTCTAAACCCTAAAGACGACATACAATGCTGCAACATCTATAAGCCCACCAGGACAGAAGCGTGAACCCTAGAGCACATCATCCAAAGCTCACCTGCAACAAGAAGATGGTTTTACGTTTGAGAGCATTAACAAATTTGATTCTCTGCGTCTTTTAGATGATGATGAATTTACTTGATTGCTTCCCTTGCTCCTTAAAGTCGTCTAAAAGCTCTATTTAACATTTAAATTGTATTCTCTCTGTAAACAATCAAGAAGTTATCAAAGAAAATTCTCTCGAGATTAAGTTTTTTGCCAAGCCAGGGCCATGGCTGCAGTCGTCTTACAAACTCTATTTTGGCTGTGTGTGTGACTTGTTTATTTTATTATTTATTTTCTTACGACATTCTCTTTTACAGGTTTCGTGTGAGTTTTTTTCTTTTTTTTTCTTCACTCTGTTTTCTTAACATAATTTGTTTTTTTCTGGTTATTCTTTAAGTAAAAAACTTTTCTTCTGCTATCTTTGTCTGATATTGTGACTTGATTTGACTAAGAGAGGTAGGCTTGTATTGTGTCGATAGGATGCTTTATCTTTTCTAGCTCAAACATGATATTGAGCAGTAGCTCTGGTTGATGCTTTTGAGAAGAACTTAGCCTATCCTTCGGAACACTAGAGACATCATTTCATGTGAACCTGATTGCAGTGTTTAAAGGCACTCTTTAATCTTACTTCTCTAGAGGACTCCCATCATTTTCCGTTGGTTGTTACTTATGCAGCTTCCAAAGGAGGGACTCGACAATTCGCAGTCCATGTATGAGATTTGTGTCCTATAGTAGTTGTTTAAAGTATTAACCATATGAATAGATTTGAGAGATTCTTTCTCTATGCAGCTTGCAAAATTGGGTTTGTGTTTATTATTGTCCATGCTGATCTAAGAATCTTCACAGGTCTTGAAAAAGGAGTTTCCAAACGGTGTGGATATCCTATATGAATCTATAGGTGATCGAATGTTTGAATGATCCTCGATGTTTACGTTACGACTCATCGTGCTTGGAATGATCTCTACCTGTTGCATTCAATTCGGGTTTGGTATCTATGAAATTTTGTAGAGTGTGACAATGTTGTTTCAACTGGAATTGCAAATTCTAGAATGTTTATTTAAAAAAATATATATATTCCTCACTTGAATTGATTTTGTTTCAACAAAACAAACACCAAATGTTTCAGGCGGGAAACAAAATCTTGATTCTTGACAAGTTATTCCATCTCTACTCTCTCGGAAAGCTTAAGCGTATTACCTTAAACCACAAGTTTCTTTGTTTACATTTAGTTATGTTCCACCAAACTGATTCTTTACTAACTATTCCAAAAGCACTTCATCTTTTTTCATCTT